CGACTCTCTCTCTCTCTCTCTCTCTCTCTCTCTCTCTCTCTCTCTCTCCCTATGAATTACTAGGGAATAACAAGCAGGAAATTGATTTGGCAGTTATCTCTCTCTCTTTCCACAAATTCCTAGGGAGTAACAAGCAGGAAATTGATTTGGCAGTTATCTCTCTCTCTTTCCACAAATTCCTAGGGAGTAACAACCAGGGGATTTGGCACTTATCTCTTTAAATCAGTGAATGTAGGGTTCTATAATCAACAGATATTCTTCAATGCAATGTTCAAAATTTCGGCCGCCTAGCTGCCTGGAGGCAAAAATGCCTAGTCGTCTCTTAGACAGGCTTCCTAGGAGTCTTGCGTACAGGTGCCCAAGGCAACTCCTAAGTTCTCGCCTTATGGTGGATGCTTTGGCAGGCACCTCGATGCAATCTGGCCGAGGCCGGAAATGGGCCCTTGGCCAGGGGCATTTTTGACATTTTCTTCCCCTTAAAATGGGGGAAGGTTTTGGTGGACATTCTAGCCCCCCAAAGATATTTGTGTTTAGAGAGTGAATAACTCTCAAAAATCTAAGATTTTTAGATTTCTATCAAGATCGAAAAAAATTTCAATAGGAAATCAAAAGATATACTTCCCAACACTTTTTGGAGCCTGGAGTGGTCGCATAAGAGGACTTTTGGTGATCACCGGTTTTGGCCTGTAGTGATTTCATTTTTCTTGAATTGTTTTTTAATACTTTCATCATATATATTTTTCAGGTTTGTTGATAAGGTGATATTGTGTATTACTGTGACCGTGTGAGCTGTGCTTCAAAAACACAGAGGTGAGCGCCCAAAAACACCTTTGCGCACGCGGCACCCTGCGGCGGGGGGCATACAAGACATTTTTTTCTTTTGTTTTTTTTTTTCGTTCTTTGTGCTATAGTCTATTTATTTCAAACAACAAATATGTGAATAACTTCAAATACATACGTGAAGGAATATACACAATATTTTTTTCACTTTTACTCACAAATTCTTTATTGTGTGATATGAAACCATATATTGCACTGCTCCGCAATCAAATTTCATAAAAACAATTGTGGAGTTTAGCCAATTTTTTTAATTTTCTTTAATTAATCTCCCATCTAACCACAACATGCAACTAACCATAATTTGTCAGGGTCCCTTGCACATGTAGTACCACATATCATCGAGACTGGTCCTTTTAATCATCAAACAAAAATTTCAAAATCACATTTAAAGAATAAAAGAAGCAAGGTTTCAAAAAACGCTTGGTCCTTTTAATCATCAAACAACATTTCAAAATCACATTTAAAGAATAAAAGAAGTAAGGTTTCAAAAAACGCTAGCCAGCGCCAAGGCGGCTTGCCTGGCGCCCAGTGCCTAGGCGGACGCTTAGAACCTCGGCAGCCCTGTAGTGCAAATTCTTAGCATTTTTTTATATGTTTACTATCCAAATGCATATATATGCAAATATTTGTGTCAAATTTTGTAATTTATTCCATTTGAAAATATTGCAACTTCACAACATACGTTTTTATATACAAACATATCACATATCTCAGATTGAGAATAAACTTATTCAACATTTCAAACCACACAACATTTACAAGTCTAATAAACTATTGTAAGGTCTTCAACTCTCGTATTCTCCATATTCCATATCCATATCCATAAAAAAAACCATAATAACATCCAAGTCTCCAAGTCTTCAACAAACTAACTTCTGAAATAAAAAACCATTAAACCACACAACAAAATAATCCAAAAAGGTAAAAAAAATATAAACCACATAACAAAATAGTCCAAAATGTCTAAAGTCCAAATCAAGATGGTGCAATAAAGTTACTACAAAAGAAGAGAGAAGACATCAATAAGAATCAGAATCATCATCTTCATTGCTTCTATCTGCATTAGAATCGAAGCCGTCATCATCAGAATCACCACCCTCTTCAACATATTCCTCTTCTTCCAAAGATTCTTCTGAATCTGCCTCCTCTTCCTCTATCTCCCTCCGTGATTGTGAAGTACCAGCAGAAGAAGTTCCTCAATTGGCCCTCCTAGGATTAGAAGCATGCCCTGAAGCCTCTTCGACCATTTCCCATGTCAAACCCTCCCCAAGGAAGACTCCCCAAGGAAGACCTCCTCAGTACCAAGGTCACCAACTAGCCAATCTGAAGCATTCTCCATGGCTTTCAAAGAGATAGGATCCTTCTTTGGCTGGTTTTTCTTCTCCTTGAACCTTTGATTCTCTCTAACAAAAACAAAGTCATTGAGCTTCTTTTTCTCAAGCATATTTCTTCTCTTTGTATGCACCTATAAGGAAAAATGCATAAGTAGCTACTATGAGTCTATGAATCTTTATTAGAAAAATGAACTTATAAACAAGAAAAGCATATAAAATTGTAAAATAGTAAAGTACCATCTCAAATGAACTCCAATTGAGCTCACAACCAAAAGAGGTAGTTGTCAAACTCAAGATCCGTATAGCCATCTTCTAGAGGTTTGGAACGCTACTCGCATGTTGTCTCCACCATTGGGCTGCAATATGTGGGCAAACTTTATAATTAATTTAGGTATTTAACATTATCACACATAATTTTCAATATACTTAATCACCCTGCCTCTATCTTCCTTCTTAAATCTATTTTCAATTGTCACTTGTATTTTTCCCTTTCCTCCTTTGCCTTTCTCAATTACTGTCTCAGAGCCAGGAGTAAAAAAACTATCTATAGGCCCTCTCATACGAGGCTTCTTAGACCCCAAAGCCCTCTTGCTCTTAGAACTCTGAGTACCAACCATGGCTACCTCTTCTTCCCCCTCTTCATCCTCTTCTTCAGTGTCAATATTATCATAAAATACATGGACCCCTGACTTTAATTCTGCTATATCTTTTTTTTAAAAAAAAATTACTCTTTTCACCTTCAACGTATTCATAAATTTCTTTCTTTACAAGCTCGAGGACTTTCTTACATGGGGCAACATCACCTCTAATACTGGCAAGGTATTTCTTAAATCTATTTATGCCGGCATTAGAAACAGGTCCACAGAAATTGCACATAATTTTATTCCTATCATTCTTATCCGGGTTAACACAATATTTCCATCTTGGATCTCCAGCCTTAGTAAACCGACCCCATAGAAGACATCTCAAATTGAAAAAATAAAACTCAAATAAAGATTACAAACTGATCTTTTTTGCCCAATCTTTGATCTTCAATGTTGGTTACCTCAATCGAGCTACTAATCAACTCAAAAGTCTTCCAATGCCATCAATAGCACCCTAAAAATAATTTTAATGACAAAAGAAAACTTTTTCAATCCACAAAAAATACTTTCAATTCTCATAAATTACTTTAGATTCTCATAAATAAATTTAGAGATTGAGGGTTTTTTTTTTCACTTTGGAGGTTCAAAATAAACCCCATAACATTTTTTATATAACCTTAGGGGTCAAAATGACCCCTTTTGCCCTTTTGGGCAATTTAAAAAATGAAAAAGGCCTTATGGCCCTAGGCGCCGGCCGAGAACTGGGTACTAAGCACCCGTCCAAGTACATCCGCCCGGGTAGGGCCACTTGGGTCTAGGCGTGCGGATTTTTGGTCCAGGCCGCCTAGGCGAGTGCCTAGGCGTCGAGCGGACCGTTTTTTAAACATTGAAAATAAGTCACCTTTTTGAAGTAATCCATGGAAATCACAACTCAATTCCTCAAATAAACCATTTATTACTCCAATACTATTACTTTCTATTATAGCAACTAAAAATCAGTGATATAATCCCAAAACCCATAAGCTCTCTCAATAAATTTATTAAGGACTTGCGCTTTTGGGGGGTTTGGGGGCTAGATTGCCCAACCCAATACCCTTTTCCCCCCTTCTTAGGTGGGGGGAGGGGGCAAATACTTTTTTTCCCTTGGTCGCAGACTTTTTTCTACCCGTGTCCAAGTTGTTTTAAAGTGCCGCCTTGCGGGGAACGCCAAGTGACGCCTTTGCCACCTAGGATAGCAAGGATGCCCACAGCGCCTATATAGGTCCCCCATTAGGCGTTTTTGGTGCCTGCAATTTTCGAATAATGGTATGTCGTGAGTCGTGACAATGTCTTCAACTGGATCAAGTAAACGAAGTAATCTGGGCTAGAAGTATGGATCTTGACCAAATCATTGAATGTGATGAATGATGATGTCTGTGATTTTTATTTTTTTTTCAAGGGTTTTAAGTGCTAAAACTGCCCTAAGAACTCCACAAGGAGCCTAAACCCCTGCTCTAATCACTTCCTGGGAGCTCTAATCCATTCCTGATGGCCAAGCCCACCCTAGTTCCTTGGCGCCCCCACCTATGCCTTTGAGTTTTTGAGCATTGCATAGGTGACCTATATTTTGCAAAGTTGGGTTATTTCTTTCACACTTTCAGTAGTTTCTTGTTTCTTGCATTTGGGCTATCAATTCTGAATGTGCTCATAGCCTTATTGCTCCCCCCTCCCCCCATCCCCCCAAAAAAAAAAAACAACTAAGTTAGTGGGGGGATTGTGCAAGGACCCACCCCTCATATTAATTTGTAAGAAAAGTTTACCATTTATGAGATGTGATATTTACAGTTACCCTCACTAGGAGTTTGCATCACTCTGTACATAATGACCTCACCACATTTGCTCCATATCACACAAGGTTGATTGGGAGTTGCTTCCCAACTTTCACATATTATTTTTTCTCTTCCATACTTTGGAGGGATTATCTTCTTTTTCCAGGATGCTATTCCAAATTTTCCATATCATCATCTCCTTTGCTATCCTAGGAAAGGTATGATGACGATGATCTTCATTTACCCGCTGATTTCTTTCTTCCCATATGACCCTAAATAGAGTAGGGAGAGAGGCATTCCGAAGCTTTGCTAGGAACCTTTTTTTTTTAACTTCTTTTTTAACCAATTTGTTAGGAGACTTTGGATGTCAAAGCTGGCTATTGTTCTTACTTTAAATCTCCAAAGTGATCACTTTCCAAATCTCACCCATAAAGGTGCATGTGATGAAGTAAGTGATCATGATCTTCAATCTCAAATATATACAGCGGGCATCAATTACAATGGAGGTAACCCCATATTTGCATCTATCGGAGGTTGATAGCATTTTTTGTCTAATCTACCCAAGAACCATGGGGGCCTAGGTGTGTTGGTTTCCCCATTTAGTCTCAAGTGTTTTATTTTGACGCCATGTTTTCTAATGATTCGATAAGAGTTCTTTTTGAGATAATTTCTGCATATTCACTAGGCACACATATGAGCATATCGTCAATCATGTCTTTGTACGTAGGTAACCTTATCCAAGATCAACTTCCAAGCCCAAAAATCTCCTTCCTCTTATAGGGAGGAGAAGCATACATGTATTTAAGATGGTTAGAGATCTTCCAAGGCCCAAATCCCTTGTGATTTCCTCTCCATACAAGACATACAAGAACCCCTAAGATTGATAGAGATCTTCTAAGGCCCAAGTCCCTTATGATTTCTTCCCCATACAAGTCATACAAGGAGTCAAGGACCTCTCATTAAGGCATGGATCAAGCAGGAAACCAATTTTAAAGCCATCCCCTAATTCCTTGTCAAAAGAGAGAGAAAAAATTAAAAGACAAAAAAAAGGTTTCTTTGTTAATGTTATGGAGCTCATGTCGAAAAAACCGATACAGACATTGAACTTCTAGAAAGAGAACAATCTGGGGAGTCACCGAATCAATGAAGAGCACATATGCAAGACACATTTTCCTGGAGCACTAAAGCAAGAGGATTATAAGCTAGGATTGGAGAACAACTGCACAAAGAAAAGAGAGAGGGGAAGTGTGTTTCTCAAAGAAGGGAGTGAAAGAGTAATTTCATAACCATGAAGAGCTTACCAAAGAAAACTAGAAACCCCTATTATCTGCTCAGTATTTGATGCAGGGAGAGAATAAAACCAGAAAATTAACAATAAAAAGGAAGGCTAAGAGAAAATACCCTCTCTCAAAGGTCTGCAAGGGAGACCAATTTTTATTCAATTCATAGACTGCTTTACAATGAAGGGAAACCTCCCTTTAAATAGACTAAAAAAGAAGATAAGCAAAAGAGAAAAAACCTCCACGCACTCCCTTTGGTTTTTCTCTCTTCCCTATTTTTTCTCCCTTAACTTCACATGCTAATAGTTGGCCACGTTTTTATCAAAGCAAAGCCTCCCACGTTTTACACAAAGCCTTCCTCTTGTGATAAAGATAAAACTCCCTTAATTTTAACATTATCCTATTTACATCCCAAACTAACTAACCTAATCAATACAAGATAAACACAATATAAACTCATGCCCTCCTAATTATCCCTGTGCACTCCGATATTACATCATTGCCCCTTTCTTTTCCTCTTGGGTTCTACAACCCTTTCCTAGCTCAGTCACGAAGGGGCATGGCTGCATCTTTCCCCCCTAGTTGAAAGGAACTCGACTCCGGTGAGTTGGCTTCAGTATAGACGTGGTATAAGTCTGGATCCACTCTTTTGAACTCTTGCCTAGAAATCCACGTGCTATCAGAGTATGGCCTGCCCTTCCATTCAACTAGAAATTGGCGATAGGAACTTTTTCGAGTTTGAAAGCTTTCAGTCTTCAAAACTTCCTCAATTTCCTCCTCTTTCTTTCTCGATAATTGCTTCATCATATCAACTACTTCGACTTCTAGAGGGTCCCCATGAAACTAAAATAAGTTAGCAACGTTAAATATCGGTGAGATATCCAATGCCTTTAGTAATTCCACCTTATATGCATTGTTCCCATATTGCTTCAAAATGCGGCAAGGGCCCACCTTCTTGGACTTGAGTTTATTATAGGTTCCCAAAGGAAACCTCTCCTTTCGTAAATACACCATTACTAAGTTCCCCTCCTTGAAAACTTTTTCTCTTCTATGCTCCTTTGAGGCTTTTCGATACTTTGTATTGCTTTCCTCAATTTTCTTCTTGATTTGAGCGTGCAAATCTCGAAGATGCTCAGCAAAAGCATTAGCATCATCACTGATCTTGCCTGGCATGGGTAATGGCACTAGGTCCAACACATGATTAGGCGTCCACCCATTAACAATCTCAAATGGTGATTTTCCTGTAGATCAATTTACTGAACTGTTTTAAGCAAACTAAGCCTGGGGCAAAGCGAGGTCCCACTGAGATATGTTATCACCAACAATACTCTTCAAGAGGTTACCAAAGCTCCTATTCACTATTTCAGTCTGCCCATCTGTTTGAGGATGATATGCGCTAGAAAATTGAAGTTTAGTTCCCATGCGCTTCCACAAAGTGCGCCAAAAATGACTTAAAAATTTTGCATCCCAATCAGATGTAATAGACTTAGGAACACCATGTAGCCTTACAATATCTTTGAAAAAGAGATTCGCGATATGTGTAGCATCCATAGTTTTCTTACAAGGAAAAAAATGTGCCATTTTGGAAAATTGATCAACAACAACAAAAATAGAGTCCATACCTCGTGTGGTATGTGGAAGTCCAAGTACAAAGTCCATACAAATATCAACCCATGGGGCATCTGGAACAGGAAGAGGGATATAAAGACCTGCATTTTGTGTGTCACCTTTAGATACTTGGCAAGTCCGACATCATGTCACAAATCGATCAACATCTCTCTGCTTACGTGGCCAAAATATTTTTCTCCAACCATAGCCATAGTTTTGTCCTTCCCAAAGCGCCCACCTAATCCTCCACCATGAAGCTCCATGATTATCTTCTCCCTTAGGGAGCAATCAGGTATACATAACCGCAGACCTTTAAATAAATAACCATCATGCATGAGATACTCACCCATAGGGTCTCGCCCATCAACACACCTTTCAAGGACCTTGCTGAAAATTGGATCAACTTTATATTAATCTTTTATCACTTCAAACCACAACACTTCCATAAACAAAGTTCTAAACAACACTACCCTTCTACTTAGAGCATCAGCTGCCTTATTTTGGGTTCCAGCTTTGTGCATTAATAGGAAGGTGTATTCTTGAAGGAACGCCATCCACTTAACAAGTCGCGCATTCAACTTCTTCTGAGAACTCAAATATCGGAGTGCTTCATGATCTGGATATAGAACAAACCCCCTATGAATCAAGTAGTGCCTCCAGTAACGCAAGGCTTGCACCACTGCATAAAACTTGAGGTCATAGACCGAATACTTCTTACGTGCCTCATTCAATTTCTCACTAAAGAAGGTCACCGGTCGCTCCTCTTGACTTAGAACTGCCCCTATGCCAACATTTGATGCATCAGTTTGAACCTCAAACACCTTAGAAAAATCAGGTATGGC